GCAAAACGCACGCCACCAGCCGCTCCCATGTTCTTCCTTGGAGTTCTTCTTCTCCAAAACTCTTCCTTTTAGTCTCTTCTCTTGAGGTAAGTGGGATTAATCTTAGATAGATGATACGACCTAATTCCTAGACCCCGTCTATTGATATTTTTCCAAAATTTTTGTCAAATGGGTTTTCCCTAAAAGTGTTAGGTTTTACCAATTTCTTCTAGAAAGTTGATTATAATGTCATCTAAGGTTTATGTGAAGATTATTATTGTATTTTAAATTGAAAATCGTGGAATTTATGGGATGGGTTTGAAACCCTACTTTTGCCCTAACCTAGTTATGATTTTTGAAAAAAGATTTACGATTATATTTAAATATTATGATTTTTGGAGTTAACCATGCCTATTGTGATTGACATATTTTTTTGAATGTTTATTTGGCGAAATAAAGTGAGATTATAACGAACTTGTTGGGTCTAATATCCTACTTTTGCTTGGTTAAGTGTTGACAATTGAAATATTTTGAGTTTAAAACACTCTTTTTGAAATTTGCTTAAGAGCATGTTGAGTATTTGGTCAAATTGGTAATTCAAACTACCCGTCGAGTCCGATCAACTCGTCGATTGTTTCGATGATAAAGCATAGCCTTCCACCTCTGTGCCCTGCAAACACGTGAGGGTATACCGGTATATTAGGATAATTAGCTAATCTTTAACTAGATCCCGAGTGGGCTAGGTCGAGGGATCGAGATGGCGGGTTCCCTTTTTGGGTGATTTCGAGGTGCCCGTCATTCACGATAAAAATGACTTTAGACCGTCATCTGTGATGGAGGAATGGATTGCGTACAATCCCCTCTTGATATGTTATATTGGAGACTAGAGGGTTGTGGGCCTTATGGCGCCCCTCGCAAATTAATAATAAATTAATTTACGTGTACTTTGGATTTCGAACCCTTATGTACAGTTGCAATCTGGGGATTTATGCCAAAATGGACCCTCAAAATGTGTGCAACATCTTCTGGGTCTAACCTAAACGGATGATGATCTGGTACTGGGATGAGATCATATGCTTGACCTCATGGACATTCCTCTCTCTGAAAATTTGCTTGAAAAGAGTCAGGCCTTGTTCCCAAAGGAATATTGTTAGGATAGGTAATAGGGAGTTTTTCCCCTTTCAAACCTACTAGGGGCCGTAGCACTTGGATTGGTGATATTCACGAACGACGGCCCTGTAAAATTCAAGTGCAGTTGCGAGGAAGACATTGCTGCAAGTGTAGGTGCGGAATGCAAGGTACCCTCAAAAGGGTCTGATCCAACATATTCTACATTAAGTTTTGTTGATCGCACAACATCGTCTGCATGGCTACTGTTTGCTAGTTGTTCATTTTTTGAACATACATTAACCAATCAGCTGGTACTTGAGAACCCCCTCCCCCCCTCCCCCGCGTGGTCAGGATAGGAGATGGAGTCGTTGTGGTGGCTCCGATAGCGGTGCTGAGGCATTGGGACTGGGAACCCGCCATGAGGTTCCTTGCAACATTCAACCGGATCAAATTTGTATATAATTCACGTTGGACGTAGGATCAACAATTTTCCCTCAATTTCCACTGTGGTCGCCAATTTGTTGATGCAGAAATTCAATAATAAAAAGTAAAATCCGTAGATATACTTCAAAGTTGAAAAGGTGTCAAAGATCACGGATCCCTAAACAAATAAAAAGCTAATAAATCAGAATATATAAACAACTAAGAATGTAAATGGATGATCCCCAACAAGACTTTTTATGAGATCGTGGTTGATTGAAGTTGCTTCAATCTTTCTCATTCGGGTCACTTATATACAAGACAATCTGAACCGCCTGAAAACCGCTTCACAGTTGATTATCAAGATTATGCACCAAACCATTTTCGGTTACCTTTGTAAATCTTCTTCCGATATGCAGTAGCCGTCGACAACCAACTTAAACAGTTCCAATCGGTATATTCCACCAACCGACCCAGCACCCATATTCGGATGGACTTCTTAACTAATGAACCGACCCATCTATTTGCGGATCCATTGGACTCCACCGGCCCGCCTAACTCAAATTCATTCCAATAAGCTGTTTGGCCCACCACTAGGCCCACACTCTTTTTCTCTTTTGAGTCTAAACCCTAATTTTCAAATTTTTGTACTCAACAATATGAATAGTTGGATTTGATCAAAATCATTCAAACAAAATGTTTCAAGTTACAAGCATGTTTGAGAAATAACGTTTTCGAATAGCTTTTAACTATTTGAACAATCTTTAGTTATTTGATCAATCTATTAGACATAGGGTTTGTTAGGCTATAAATATTAATGTATTATCACTTTTAGGGTTTGATCAATCTATTTGATCAATCTATGTTTGTTGGTTCTTCTGTGTTTGGAGACACCTGCAAAATAGGCAACGACATTATTATTGCCTTGACCTTGTCGGTTTCATCGGTAGGTTCAGCGGTTGTGGCAGTGTAGACCTCGGTGGCTTGGTCCTTGAATGATTCCACGGTTACATCGATGTTGTCAATGGTTTCTTCAATGATCATGGTCTCCCGCTCCTCCTCTATTCCAGCAGCAGTTGGCTCGCCAACTCCCGGCTGGTTAACGGGAATGGGTTCATCGTCAGGTGTTTCAACAAAAGTTGGCTCACCTATCCCATGTTGGTCGAAGGGAGTGAGTTCATCTCCAGATGCCCACTGGCGAGGGTCACTCGGGTTGGTGAGTGGGCTCTCTAATTGTGATCCTCTTTCTCAAGCGAGAGAGTGGGATCTCATCTGATTTGCTTTTCTCCTCCACCGCCTTATCCTTCCTCTTTTCCTTCCTATTCAGCTTCCGAACAGGGCTTTCAAATTTCTTCAGTGCCAATTTCACCCTCGGTTTCTTCACAGCTGACTCAGAAGCGGGGTCTTCTTTCCTCTTGGTTCTTTTCTCTCCAGCGGCCTTTTTCGGGCCTTTTCTTCCCTTATCGCTCTTGGCCCTCTTTGCCAAACATTTTCCTTCGCTCCTCAACCTCCCAAGTAAAGAAAGAAGCGATCTCATCTTCCTCAGTTGCAGTGGCTTCCTCGGAGAGTGTTTTCTCTAAGTCATGTTCAGCGGCAGCCTCTTCTTCTTGACGAGGTTGTCAAAAGCGACGATAAACCTGCACTACCACCAGGTCCGATTACTCGAAACCGTGCCAAGAAGTTTCAAACTAATATTATGGCATTAGTTCTATTCTTAAAAGAGGAGAAAATGCATAAAGTTGAAGCATGGAGGCCAATGGGAAGAACGTTATCAATATTCGAGTGCATCCACCCTTGAAGACCACAATTTATAACACCCATGGGAGTTTTTACTCACATCATTACCTATATGGGATAAGAGGTGTTTTATTTTATTTAATAAGTTGGGTCCCTTCAATCTAATTAATTGAAAATCTCTTATTTACTTAATTAGTGGGATATAAATAATATATATTTTTGTCCCACATTGTTTGTAGAGTCTTTTGCCAAGCTAGCCTCCCCTATAAATAAGGCACTTGGCTTCACTTGTTAGACACCTTGAAACTTATATCAATTAAAGTTTTTTTTTTCTCTTTATTCCATTATATTGGAATTAGTGTGTGAGCGAGGGTTACCCTTGCATACACGTATCATTCTCAAATCAGATCTTTGGGTTGATTCCTTGGGTTCGTGGCTTCCGAAACCGACCGGAGTTTCTAGCCAAATCGTTTGAGTCTCCATTAGTATAGAGGTTTTGGGTCTAGGCAACGTTTGGGTTCACATCCGATCAATTGACGAATCGGACACCGGTAATATCTTCTTCTTTTTACTTAGTTTTTTATTTGAATTTAGTTTTAAGTTTCAGTTAGTATAGTTTAGTTACTTGGGCTGCATCATCAATTTGGTATCAGAGCCCGTTTTTATCAGAATTCTTATTCCGGTAGTGTTAGTAGTCTTTATTTCATATTGTTAAATTATGTTAAGATCTTTTACATTTTTGTAGTAGCATTATCATTGTTGGGCAAAAAAAAAAATACTGCAGAAAGTTAAATAAAAAAAAAATACTGCATAAAATTTTAAAAAAATATATACTGCAGAAAATTTTTAAAAAAATACTGCAAAAAAAAGCCCTCTTTGAAATATATTGTGATTTTGAGTATTGTATCCACTTGTTTATTTGTGGATATCGGTTTTCTTGCGGTTGTACTTTCACTGTTGGTTCGTTGCTATTATTGAGTTTGGCTTCTTAGGGTACATTCGTCAATTTATATTGGCTATATTCCATGAAGTTTTGTTGGCTATAACTCGAGGGGCTTACCAAGGACCGTGAAATTTGAGCGCGTGTGTAAGACGGAGAGGTACATTACGTGGGTATATACGAGAGGGTGAGGAAATCATTTATCTAACCATCTATATATATATTTCCACTATATTTTTCTATGGCATGTGAGAGAAGTGACGAGGAACATGATATGGCATCCGCATCAAGCTTTGACCCCAAAATGTTCGTGAAGGATATGATGGTGGAAGTACAAAGGGTACTTCGACATGAGGTTAAGGGACTCCATGCCCGAATAAATAAGTTGGAAACATCGAGGGTAGAAGGGAATGCAGCCCCTCCACGCCCACACAATGGCGTTCCACCTTTAGGACGACGACATCCCAGGAATGCTCCAAGGCATAAACGAGTTCGTGATCTTCTCGAAGATGATCGTGACATGACTGAGTATAATGGAGAAGTAGAGAGCAATGTTCCCCTTCGAGCACGACGAGCGGAACATAGAAGAGATGACAATGATCCAATTCGCTCTATGAAATTCCAAATCCCAACTTTCTACGGGAAATATGATTCAGAAGCATATCTTGATTGGGAGAGGAAGATTGAGCTGATCTTCGATTTTCAAGATTTGGATGGTCCACAAAAAGTCTGAGCTACGGTTTCTGAGTTCAAAGATTATGCCATTCATTGGTGGGACAATATTTGCCTCAATCGAAGGCGAGGTGGAGCACCGATGATTCAAACATTGGAGGATTTGACACGTGTCATGCGAGCTAAATTTGTGACGAGTTCGTATACGCAAGAATTGCATGTTCGACTGCAATCAATGAAGCAAGGAAACAAGACAGTTGATGAGTTCTACAAGGATTTGGAGGTGACTTTAATGCGGGCTGATGTTCGAAAGAGTCAACAAGCCACGGTAGCGAGGATCTTGACTAGGCTGAATCGAGATATTGCTGACAAAGTGGGATTGTATCGTTTTGATATATTGATGAATTGGTGGAACGTGCTATTACAATTGAGAAGCAATTGAAGCGTAAGGGCAATCAGAAAACATTTGGTACGAAGCCCTTCACACCAAATTATACCAAGAAGGATGACAAAACCCAAGTGGCCCAAGGGTTCGGTAAAGGAAAATGTGTTACCAAGGATGACACGCCACGGAACAAACATGTTGGAGCTGATCCGGAGAAGCCGAGGAATCGAGATATCATTTGCTTCAAGTGTCAAGGTCGAGGCCACATTGCAAGTCAATGCCCAAACAAGAAAACGATGATCCTCAATAAGTTTGGGGAATACGAGACGGAATCTGAAAATGAGGAGGGGGTTGATCAAAGAGTAAATGAGGAAAATAACATGGATGATGACTCTGATTCTGGTGTTGGTTTGAGTTTGGTTACCTTACAAGCCTTAAGCACTATGTCAAGGACCTTTGATGAGGAACAACGAGAAAATCTCTTTCAAACTCGTTACATAATTGGAGGCAAAGTGTGTAGCCTTATTATTGATAGTGGGAGTTGCACAAATATTGTAAGTGAACTTGCTGTCGAAAATTGAATTTGCTAACAGCACCCCCACCCCAAACCATTCAAATTGCAGTGCGTTAGCAATTTCGGAGAGTTGAATGTGTACAAGCAGGTGACGGTTCCTATCAAGATCAAAAATTATGAGGATGAAGTCGTCTGTGATGTGCTACCGATGCAAGCTTGTCACGTATTACTTGGGAGGCCATGGCAGTTGGATAGAAAGGCTCATCATGATGGATATTTGAATAGATACTCATTTGAGTTTGGGAGTAGAAAGATATGTTTGAAGCCGTTGTCTCCAATGGATGTCCATGAGGACCAACTTTACATGCATCGTCAATTTTTGGAAGAAGCCAAAGAAAAGAGAGAAAGGAAAAAGAGTGAAAAAAATAAGAGTGAAAAAAGTGAGCATGGGAGTGAGAAAAGTGAGGGTGAAAAAATAAAGAGTGACAAAAGAGAGCAAGTAAGTGAACAACGCAAGAGTGAGCTTGAAAGAAAAATGCTTGTGAGCTTGAGAGAGGCAAAAAATTTGAAAGTTCACGAGGGAAGTTCTTATTTACTTTTGATTAAACCTGTTTATTTGTCTAAGCAATAGCTAATGGAACTCTCTTCCAATATTGCTTCTCTTTTGCAGGAATATCAAGATGTGTTTCCTGATGAAGTAACTGGAGGATTACCACCTATTCGGGGCATTGAGCACCAAATGGATCTCATTCTGGGTGCATCAATTCCAAATCGTCGAGCTTACAAAGCAAGTCCAGAGGAAGTCAAGGAAATACGTAAGCAAGTGGATGAGTTGCTTGACAAAGGCTGGATTCGCGAAAGCCTAAGCCCTTGTGTTGTACCGGTTCTTCTTGTCCCAAAGAAGGATGGTGGATGGAGGATGTGCATCGATTGTCGAGCCGTAAATGCCATAACGGTAAAGTATCGACACCTTATCCCTCGTTTAGATGACATGCTAGATAAACTGCATAGGTCAAAATACTTTTCTAAAATTATTTTGAAAAGTGGATATCATCATATTAGAATGAGGGAAGGTGACGAATGGAAAACTGCATTTAAAACTACATTTGGCTTATATGAGTGGTTAGTCATGCCTTTTGGCCTTACAAATGCTCCAAATACGTTTATGCGGTTAATGAATCATGTATTACGTACTTCCATAGGGAAGTTTGTTGTGGTTTACTTAGATGATATTCTCATTTATAGTAAATCAATGGAAGAATATGTAGAGCATATTCGTAGTGTTTTGGAAGTGTTAAGAGCTGAAAAGCTTTACGCTAACCCGAAGAAGTGCGACTTTTGTGTCGACAAATGTATTTTTTTTGGTTTTGTTGTAGGTGCTGAAGGGATAAGTGTGGATGAAGCTAAAACACAAGCTATTCGGGATTGGCCAACACCTAAAACGATCAAGGAAGTTCGTAGTTTCCTTGGACTTGCAAGCTTTTACCTCCGGTTTGTGCGAGATTTTAGTTCCATTGCAGCACCACTACCTGAGCTTACAAAGAAAGATAAACACTTTGATTGGGGAGTTTCTTAACAAGCATCTTTCGATTTTCTTAAGAGAAAACTTACTAATGCTTCTTTTTTAGCTCTACCGGATTTTACTAAGCCATTTGAATTGAAATGTGATGCCTCGGGAATTGGGATTTGAGCTGTTTTGATGCAAGGAAAGATGCCAATTGCGTACTTCAATGAGAAGCTGAGTGGGGCTGCCCTCAACTATCGACGTGTGACCGAGAATTGTACTCGTTGGTTCGTGCACTTCAAACATGGAAGCATTATTTGCGATCACAAAAATTCATTGTTCACACTGACCATGAATCATTAAAGCATTTAAAGAGTCAACAAAAGCTTAGCAAGCGGCATGCAAGATGGGTAGCATTCTTGGACACATTTCCTTACTCGATTTAATACAAGAAAGGAAAGGAAAATGTTGTAGTTGATGCGCTATCAAGGAGGTACGGGTTGCTAACCTTGTTAGATTCTAAGCTTATGGGATTTGCATTCATAAAAGATATTTATGTGAATGATGTTGATTTTTCTGATATCTTTGCAAAATGTGCTACGTATGGCTTTGGTGATTATTATTTGCACAATGGGTATTTGTTTCGTGTGAATCATTTGTGTGTACCTAGGTGTTCACTTCGTGATGTGGTAGTGGTTGAGACACATGAGGGAGGTTTAATGGGTCATTTTGGGCGTGATAAGACATTGGGTGCATTGCATGAACACTATTATTGGCCTAAAATGAAGCATGATGTGGAGTCTTATGTGAATAAATGTGTTGTTTGTAAGATTACAAAGTCACATGCACAACAACACGGTCTATACACACCCTTACCTATTCCAGAAGCACCATGGACTAATATTTCAATGGATTTTATTATGGGATTGCCTAGGTCTATGAGAGGAAATGATTCGATTTTTGTTGTGGTTGATAGATTTTCAAAAATGGCACACTTCATTGCATGTAAGAAAACCAATGATGCGTCTCAGGTTGCAGATCTATTCTTTCATAATGTTTTGAAATTGCATGGTGTCCCTAAGACAATTGTGTCGGACAGGGATACAAAGTTTCTTAGTTACTTTTGGAAGACACTTTGGGCTAAATTAGGAACTAAGTTGCTATATTCTACATCTCATCATCCCTAAACGGATGGTCAAACTGAAACAGTCGATAGAACCTTAGGGAACCTACTTCGTGTCTTGATAAAAAAGAATAGCAAAAGTTGGGACGAATGTTTGCCTCATGCTGAATTTGCATATAATCATACGTTGCATTCATCGACACACATGTCTCCTTTTGAGGTTATTTATGGCTTTAATCCTCTAACACCTTTAGATATGTTACCATTGCCTAGCAAAGAGTATTTTAATAGTGATGGCAGGAAACGGTCTGAATTTGTGAAGGAGATGCATTCAAAGGTTCGGGATAACATTGCAAAGTCAAACGCTTGGTATGCTAAAAGTGCTAACAAAGGTCGTAAGAATGTAGTGTTCCAACCAGGCGATTGGGTGTGGTTCCACTTGAGAAAAATAGATTTCCCGAGAGACAGAAGTTTAAGCTGAGCCCAAGAGGAGACAGGTCATTCCAAGTTGTGGAACGCATTAATGACAATGCCTATCGTATTGAGCTACCGGGTGAGTACCAAGTTTATAGCACATTCAACGTTGCTGACTTAAGTACTTTTGATGTAGGAGATGAAAAGATTATGAAAATGGAGGACTCAATTTTTTAAGAAGGGGGGAATGACGAGGTCGTCAAAAGCGACGATAAACCTGCACTACCACCAAGTCCGATTACTCGAAACCGTCCCAAGAAGTTTCAAACGAATATTATGGCATTAGTTCTACACTTGGAAGAGGAGAACATGCATAAAGTTGAAGCATGGAGGGCAATGGGAAGAAAGTTATCAACATTGGAGTGCATCCACCCTTGAAGACCACAATTTATAACACCCATGAGAGTTTCTACTTACATCATTACCCATGTTCGATAAGAGGTGTTTTATTTTATTTAATAAGGTGGGTCCCTTCAATCTAATTAATTGGACATCTCTTATTTACTTAATTAGTGGGATATAGATAATATATATTTTTGTCCCACATTGGTTGTAGAGTCTTTTGCCATGCTAGCTTCCCCTATAAATAAGGCACTTGGCTTCACTTGTTAGACACCTTGAAACTTATATCAATTAAAGTTTTTTCTCTTTATTCCATTATATTGGAATTAGTGTGTGAGCGACGGTTACCCTTGCATACACGTATCATTCTCAAATCAGGTCTTTGGGTTGATTCCTTGGGTTCGTGGCTTCCGAAACCGACCGGAGTTTCTAGTCAAATCGTTCGAGTCTCCATTAGTTTAGAGGTTTTGGGTCTAGGCAACACTTGGGTTCACATCCGATCGATTGACAAATAGGACACCGGTAATATCTTTTTTTTTACTTAGTTTTTTATTTGAATTTAGTTTTAAGTTTCGGTTAGTATAGTTTAGTTACTTGGGCTACGTCACTTCTTCGGACTCCCACGCCATCTCCCCTTCTTCCTCACCCTTCGCCAACAAGCGGACAATCTCTTACCCAACAACTTTCATCTTCTTCTTTGGCTGGGGGAGGGGGGAGGAGCCGTCGCTTTCTTTTTCTTCTTCTTCTCCTTGAGGATCAGACTATACCCCTTTGACTCCAGCCAATTCTTGTGAAACGCTGTTGTAAACAGCGGTTTCATTTGAAGTTCAGAGGCTGGAGTGGGCAGATCAACTCTCACACGTCTACATAGTTCTGTAATTAGGTTCCCGTAACCAAGCGTTCTGTCAATCTTCTTGCGTGACCAAATGTCTATGTCGATGACGGTGCCCGTGTCGATGTCAGCTTTTTCCTTAAAAATAAAATGCAGCACGACCATATATTTGGGCCTGCAGTCGGTCGCGTGAGAGGTTATCGTAACCCTGTTCAACGACCACTTTACCCATAATTTCTTGTCATTGTCGACTGGCCCAAACTTCATATTTCTCTTTTCATATTCGGGAGTGGCGGCGAAGGTCCTATAGAGCGAGTACCTGCATTCAACTTATTTCTCTATCTCTTGGGAGAAGTAGTAGAATGGCCATCCCAGGACTCAGTTGATTTGCTTCACCGACCAGTCCACCCATTTCCCTCGGACGTATATGCTCTTGGGACATTCGGCTTGGCTCATGTTGGCGTAAAATTCCCTCACCAGCGATACATCCACTGGATCCTTGGGATTTTAAATCAACCAAGTCAGGCCCCGCTCTTTAATCCATTTAGTGAGCGGGCCCAAGATATTTTCGGTGATGAATCATCCCTCGTAGAGGATTCCCATGGCCTTTGTCATTTGTAGGCCGCCACCACTTCTAAGTTCACAAAGTGAACTAAATCGTACTTCTTGGAAACCAGTATTGCCTTTGTTTCCTTAGCGGCATCCTTCCTTGAAATCTTGTCCAAACGGAAGGCCTGCATTTTTTCTGTAGCAGCTTGACGAGCGAACTCCTGCTCGATTTCTCTCATACTGAAATCCTTCAGTCTTTTATAGCTCAACCACCAGTCACTCACCGGATACCTCTAGTCAGTCTCATTTGTATACTCAAATCTCAGGTAATCCTCTAGAAACACTGGGATGTACTACCTGAACTTAACAGATTTCAGCCTCATAAGCTCGCTCCAATCCTCAGTCAGGTCTAGAACACTCCTTCACTTGTAGTAAGCTTCTGGCAACGCTAGTTCAACCAATTCACCGGAGCTTTTTTCTACCACTCTCATGTCGTCAGTAGAAAGTATCCTCTGAACTCTCTTTCAAATCTTTGTTTCAACTTTTTCAAATTCCTCATTCACACTTTGTTTTCTTTCATTTGGACCTATGGTGATAGCTTAGACAACCTAGGGCATTTCAGTACTTTATAAAGTAAAATAGAGCACAACTTACAAAATCTCGAACCTGCAACATTAATTCATAAATGGATAAACAATCAAGTAAATAGGTAGAAATATCCTAAATCTCACTTATTTGAGCCCTATTTCTTTCTCTCACAACGAAACGGAACATTCTATGGAGGGTTTCGTTGTGAAAAAATGAGAAAATCACAAACTTAGGAAAATCCATTCAAAGATGAAAAATTGATCCATTGAAAATAAGAATATCAGATATTATATCTAAATCCAACATATAATGGACTCAGATTCATATTTAATCAAGTTATGAAAGGTTTTTGAAAAAGTTCGAAGAATAGTAAGTTTTTGCAAAAATAATTTTTCATTATGTGTTATTGAGTATGAAATCAGGAAAAATTAACCATGAAATCGAGTAATGTGATCATGGAGAACCTAGATCTCACGTCAGATTTCATTAAAACTAGTTGGAAGATGAAGATTTTTTGAATTTGGGAACACGGAGAAATGGCATTTTCTTTTTAGCATACAAGAAGTTACTTTAGGGTAAAAGTTGAAATGACTGAGTGAAGGGGGTATTAATAGTGGAAAGCTCTTCGCACACTTAAAAAGTGACATAGAGGTGGACGGTTCAACTTCTAGTCAGTCCAGTATTATTATATTAATATAATGGCTTAACGACGGGATATTGGGCGGGTGAGCGGTTAAAGCAACACTTCTATTTTTCCTAAGTATGACAGACAAACGATTGGGTAAGCAGTATTAGGCGAGGGATGACACTCATCCAGCATGGGTCAAAGTGAAACAAGCGAAGTGAGGGTTGGTTTGGGTCAGACTTAGGTTAGAAGTTTAAAATTATACCTAAGTTACTCTAGAAAAACAATAAGAAAACAATTGAATTTTAGTCTACTAAAAGCGATAAACTACCTAGGAAAGCAATAATTACATTCCTATATAAAAGCGATAAACTAACTAAGAAACCAAGAAATTATTGCCCTAAACAAATGATGAAATATAATTATGAAAACGGTAAACTTCTACTAAGAACACGATAAAAAAAAAATAACTAGGAAAGCGATTAAAGAAAGCAAGTAAAACTCTTGAAGGATATAAGATTAGGCAATTCTGGATTTTAGTTAAGTTCTAATCAGGGAGCGAGCTTCTGAACTTCAATCAGATCAATCTCTGGTTCGTCTTGCTGCAATACGAGCCCTTCAATATACGGTTTCAGTCTAGCTCCATTGACTAGGAAGAAATCACTTTCCGTCGAGTTATCCACATCACTCATTCTTATGGCTCCGTTTGGCAGAACTTGTCTGACAACATACGGTCCAGTCCACCTAGATTTCAATTTTCCTCGGAACAAGTGAAACCTAGAATCATACAGTAAGATCTTGGATCCCTTAGTGAACTCTTTCTCCTTCAACTTCCTGTCGTGATAGAATTCCATCTTTTCCTTATAAATTTTTGCACTTTCATATGCAAAATACCGAAACTCGGTTAGATCAAGTAATTTCTCCGCGTGTTTCTGTTGTGCTGGCAATAGATCAAAATTCAAATATTCGATGGCCTAGTACGCGCAATGTTCGAGTTCAAGTAGGATGTGACATGCTTTTCCATAAACCAATCGATAGGGGGCATCCCAATTGGCGTCTTGAAGGCTGTTCGATAGGCCCACGGCGCATCATCTAATTTTTCAGCCCAGTTCTTACGACTCTTGTTGATTGTGGTCTGGAGAATGTGTTTTATTTCTCTGTTATAAACTTCCCCCTGACCGTTTGCTTATGAGTGATAGGTAGTAGTTAGATGCTGGAGAACCCCATACTGTTAAAGGTAAGATTGCAGTGTCTTATTCACAATATGGGTGTCTTCATCGCTTATAATAGTCCTTACAACCTCGAATCTTGGAAAAATAGTGTACTTTAGGAAGTGGATCACTGAGAGAAACTCGTTCGTAGGGAGCGTTTGCGCTTCAACCCACTTCCTTACATAATCTACTGCCACTAAGATATATTGCTTTCCACTTGAATTTGGAAAAGATCCCATAAAGTCTATTCCCCACAGGTTGAACATTTCCACAAACAAAATTCCAGTCTGAGGCATCTCATCTCGCTTCGAGATAGAGCCTAATTGTTGACACTTATCGCAAGCCTTGGCAAAGGCATCAACATCTTTCAGTAGGGTTGGCCAAAAGAAGCCAAACTGCAAAACTTTCGTTATTGTGGACTGCCAGCAAAATGCCCTCCTACATGAGACCCATGACATTCATTCAAGATCAATGGGACTTCTCATTCCGCTACACAGCGATAGATAATCCCATCAGAGTCGATGTTAAACAAATAAGGTTTATCATAAAAATAGTCCTTTGCCAAGCTGAAAAGACACTTTTTGTCCCTTAAAACTGTATAAGCGGAAAATTGTCTTGTGGCTAAGAAATTTTCCAGGTTTGCAAACCATGGCTCTTTACTTTGCGTAAGGAACAATTTCTCGTCAGGAAAAAAGAATCATTAATACCTTAAGATGTGTCCCCCGGTTGTCGAATTCTACTCAAATGATCAGCAAAAAAGTTTTCTTTCCCTTTTCGATCCTTCATCTCTATATCAAATTTTTGGAGTGAAAGAACCAGCAAATCAAGCGGGCCTTAATTTCCTTCTTCTCCATAAAATATTTGATCGTTGCATGGTCAGTGTGAACTATGGTCTTGCTCCCGATCAAATATTGTCTGAACTTCTCGAAAGCAAAGATAATGGCTAGAAGTTTCTTCTCAGGCGTAGTGTAATTCCTTTTAGAGGAGTCCAGCGTTTTACTGGCATAATAAATGACATTCAGCTTGGCCTCCACCTCCTATCCCAGTACAGCACCGACGGCATAGTCGTTTGCGTCCTCCATTGGCTCGAATGGCTCGCTCCACACTGATTCTGAGATGATGGGAGCGGTGGTGAGTTTCTTCTTCAAAATCGGGAAAGCCTCCTCACACTCGCTTGACCATTCAAATTTAGCATCTTTGCATAGCAGCACGGTGAGTGGTTGGGTGATTTAATGAAGTACTTGATGAAATGATGGTATAAATCGGCGTGGCCAAGGAAACTTCGCACTCCTTTCTCATTTTAGGGCACTGAAATTCTTTCGATTACACTAACCTTCGATCTGTCCACATCTATTCCGGCGAACGAGATCTTATGGCCAAGAACAATTCATTCATTTACCATTAAGTGGCACTTCTCCCAGTTCAGCACGAGATCAGTCTCAATGCAGCAAAGTAGCACTCTATCTAAATTGCTCAGGCATCTGGAAAGGTCTTGCTATAGACTGAAAAGTCATCCATAAAAACTTCTATGCATGAGTCCAGGAGATCACTGGAGATGTGGTACATACATCGCTGGAAGGTCATTGGGCGTTGTAGAGCCCGAAAGGCATCCCATATAAGTGAAAGTACCATATGGACAGGGTAGTTTTTCTCACAGTCCTCCCGCTTGATGGGAATTTGATGGTAACCTGAGTATCCATCCAGGAAATAATACTATTCGTGACATGCAAGCTTCTCAAGGCATTGATCAAGGAACGGAAGCGGGAAATGATCTTTCTTCGTTGCTGCGTTGTTGAGCCTCATATAATTGATACAGACCCTCTATCCCGTGACTGGTCTTGTCATAAAGACCTCCCTATAATTGCTCGTCTTTTTTATGAAGCCTCATTTCTTGGGGACCACCTGGGTAGGCTTGCCCATTGGATGTCACTAATAGGATAAATGATGCATGCATTAAAAAGCTTAATTACCTCTTTTTTCACAACTTCTTGCATATTTTCATTAAGGCGTCGCTGAGGCTATCTGTACAAGTTCGCTTCAGCATCTAGTCTAATATGGTGCATACACACTGCTGGGCTGATTTCTTTAATGTCTGAGATCTTCCATGCAAACGTTGTTTTTCTTCTCTTGAGAAGGGATAGGAGTTAAGCCTCTTGTGCAAAACGAGCGAGACAGAGATTATTAGCAGGTAAGTCTTCTCCGGGCCAAAAATACATACTTCAGGTGCTCTGGTAGCTTTTTCAGCTTCTCGCTTTTGTTGGATTCACTCTCTGGCTCTCGGTTCGCTTGATCTATGGACTCAGTGGGATTAGGTGAACTGTCGCTCCGCTTATCTGAGTCCTATAGCTGCTCCAGCTTGAGTGCATCCTTCTCTGAAATTTTTTCTAGAAATTCTAAGGTTAGACTGTTCTCAAGAGAGTTTAATTCATATCAATTCATCAATAAAGTCACAATTTTCTTTTCGAGGTTGACGTAATGCGTTGTTCATAAAAAAATGTGATTTTATCTCCACTGATGCTCAATAAAATTTTGCCTTGAGCGATGTTGATGTTGGCTTGAGCGGTGGCAAGGAAAGATCTTCTCAAAATTATTGGAATTTCGCGATATTCGCTCATTTCCATTACTATAAAATTAGCAGGGAAGATAATTTTATTTACTTGCACTAGTACATCATGAACAATCCCATTCAGAAGTCTTATTGATTTATCTTCAAGTTAAATTACAGTTCTACACGGCGCAAGTTCATAAAGCCCTAATTTACTGAAAAGCTAAAAAGGCATAAGATTGATACTAGCTTCTAAGCTGCATAATGCCCCTAATCGGTTTCAGGTTCCCTATAGTACAAATAATAATAAAACTCATAGGATCACAGAGTTTTTTTGGTAGCTCATCTGAAAATATGGCGCTGCACACACCCTCCAGCTACATCGTTGCATACACTTCAGGAACTTATCACTTTTATTGATTATATCTTTTATAAACTTAGGGTGTGTTTGTTTGGAGGTGTGGATTTTGAGTTGGGATTTTAATAGTAAAAATTTTGAATTTGAATAATTGTATGGTGTGATATAAATAGGTGTTGATGTGATGTTTTGAATGTAAAATTGATTTTTAGTATAATATAAAAATAAAAAATAGGTGTTTGATCTGTTGTTTTTGGGAGGAAAAATTTGGATGAATAGTAGAAAAAAAAATCCAATCCCTCAAACAAACACACCCTTAGTGTATTATGACATCTGCAGCAAAGCATCAGCAAACGGAATAGCGAATTTAAGACTACGGAAAATGTGTATAAATTTTTCAAACTCTTTGGAATTGTCCTTCTTTCTAAACCTTATTGGAAATGGGGCCCTAGATATCGCTTGGGTTGGCTCATTCTCTTTTGAATTGGCACCGTAGCGGTTTACGTTGCTCGTGGCTCAGTTTGACAAACTTCCTCGTTTGGCGTTTGATTATTATCATCTTGTACAGGTAATGTATTTAAAACAATAGGAGAAAAATGATTAATACCTATGTCCGGAAGTGATGGCGATGTTGTTCGCTTTCCTCCTCTTGTTTCTACAACCTTCACTTGATTCGGGACTGTCCTGACTTTCCCAGGTAGTGTTCCTTTCTATTTTAGCTTTATCGCTTCAGCTATCTGTCTAACCTGCATTTTCAGCATTTTGATCGAGGCAGATGTATTCCTCTAGAACTCCTGATTTGCCCACTCGGTATTCCTCCATAACTCCTCCAGACTCAGCGGCTGACTTGTCACTGTGGGAGGCAGGGCAAAAACAGGTGCCTGCTACGGAATGTGGGGGTCTGATAATAAGGTTGTTGCAGATAGTATGCCCTTTGATAATATTGTGGCGCAGCGAATTGTTGCGGCTGATGAAATTGTTGTTGAGGGCGTGGTCTAGCAGCCCTTTGGGGTTGCCCCTTCTGGAACTGTTGATGCTGAGGAGGATTTTTATTTGTCATGTAAAAGACCTCCACTGGGTTCTGAGTCTGCTCAGCTGAGCTCTCAGGAACCTGAAAGTAATGGATCTCGTGATGATGATATGTTACAGATGGTATCTGTCCCTATTTATAGGTCTATGAGATCGGCAGTTGCAGAGCAGTTGAGCGGCAGTTGAAACTGTTGGGCAGTTAGGCGGTTGATAGCAGTTAATATGTTGAAGTAGTTGCACCTGCCATAACTCCCTGGGTGCCGCTTCTCTCGCTTTAGAATGTAAGGGCACAAATCTTTCTCATTTGCCTAGATGGCTAGAGGGCATCGGCGCAGCTCAACCGGTGCTATCGTCGCTGACTGGTAGTGGAATGACTTGACCGCTGAGAGATGAACACTTAGTCAATATTTGGAGTAGCCTACTCTCGCTTCTGCAGCAGCGGATGTCTGGTCGCTGACGTTGGCGAAAGAGGTAAGAGCGTCGCTTGACTTTCAGCATTTAGCTTTTCTGGGCCATAAACATCACTTAAACATGTCAAAAACGTTACTAATCTCAACAGACAAACTCTGGATCATGCCAAATGAAATAAATCAATAAAGTATGTCATAAATAAAATCTTGTGATGGTTTTCACATAAAAATTCAAGTAATACACAGTTTTGTTAAGAGAAAAATATATTGTTATTTGGAGTTATCAAGGTCCATCGACGCCGTTGAATAATGAGATTCTAGAGGAGACGTGGACAGGTAAACTAGTAAACGTTTCTTTCTTGCGTATTTTTTGTTGCACCGAAATGTCAAGGTTAATGCTGAGACGAAGCTAAATGCAAAATCGGTGAAGTGCACGTTTATCGGTTATAGTGGTGATGAGTTTGGGTATCGACTTTGGGATGAAGCTAATCGCAAGATCATTCGTACTTGAGATATTATCTTTGATGAGCAGATCTTGTATAAGAACAAGTCGAGTGACGAGGATAGAAAGAATTCGGAGATGGTTGAATTGGATACTTCCAACACGAGCTTGAGCAACCAAGCTCGGGATAATCGGAGTGCAACTGACGTAGAGGTTGAATTGCCTACCCCCGTTACTGAGAATGTTGAAATCACGACAAAAGTTGATATGAACACATCGATAACACTGAGAAAATTCATGAGACAACATTATACACTAGAGAGGTACCTCCCTACCCTTTATTATTTACTTTTGACTGACAGTGGAGAATCATAATACTATGCAGAAGTTAAACTGAAGAATAAAAACTTGGTATAAATGGTGAAGTTAAGTTACAATCCCAAAACCAACTTCAAGTCTACGCCCAAACAAAGTAAAAAAATATCTTAAAAACCTATCTAAACAATCCCTAGATAAGAAAATTAAAAGTATATTATAAATTAATCAAGGGTGTATTTGTTTTACGAAATAGTATGAATGAATTTTTTTTATTTTTTATTTTTACGTAAAGTATAACTAATTGTAAATAATATAAAAATAAAAAATATGTATAATATATTATTTTTTTGGTAAAATATTGATTTATTTTGACAAAAAAATACACACTCAACCAATTTAGCCAGAGTGTATTTGACAATTAGCTGATAGTTGTTACTTAATTCGATTAGTTGTTAGCTGTCAGCTGATTCGAATAGTTGGCTTGACTAGATGATTCGATTAGCTGTTTGTATTAAAGTGTTTGGCAAAATAGCGATTTGATATTAGTTGTTTATACACAAAATGACAATTAAGGACATTTTATATTTTATTTTCAAAATATTTAGTTGAGTTTTTTCGGTGGGTAAACTTTTTTAGAATTTTATTATTAATATTAAAAATTAGAAAAAAATTATTAAGATATTTATTTTTATTATTTAAAAAATATTTTGTAAAGAATTAATGCAAACTTATTGAATTTTTTTTTCATTAGAAATAGTATAAATATAAAAGAGCAAAATCATTAGCATATATATTTTTATTAGATTAATTTTTAATTAATATATATTTACATCAAATTTATAATTTTAAATAAATATATTTTTTTTAATAAAAATATTATGTGATAAAAATACTATATAAATGAATCAATAACATTAATATTTTTATATTATTTTTATTCTAAAAATTAAAAGAATTTATAAATATGATAATTGATATATAAAAAATAATTATTTTAAATTTATAAATATGAATTTATAAGTTATTAGAAGAAATATATCCAAATAATTAATAAATAGTATAATAAAAAATATATATTAATATATGTAAAAGAATTAATTAATTTTAACAGTAAATAAGGAAAAGAAAAATTAAAATAAAAAAGTTAATCTGAAACGATGGGATATACAAGGTGTGTTTGGCAATTAGCTGATAGTTGTTAGTTATTTAGTTGATTCAATTAGTTGTTAGTTGTTAGCTGATTCAATTAGTTGGTTTGACTAGTTGATTCGATTAGCTATTTGTATTAAAGTATTTTGAGGGTGTTTGACAAAGGGCTTTTTGAGAAACTTTTAGTTGTTTGACCAATCAAACAACTAATTTAGGTGTTTGGTAAATTAGTTTTTTGGAATAGCTTTTTGGACCAAAAAAGCTAACTTACCTAACGTTTTGAAATAGCTTTTTCAGTATAAATTTTTTTATTCCTTATTTGCCTTTAAAACTTTATTATACACTTTACACAAATAAATATATTTTGATTATTTATTAATTATATTAGAATATTTTATTATATAATAGTATTACTTTTATAAATTTAAAATAATTAATTTTTATATATAAATTTAATAAAATCAACACAAAATAAAAAATATAAATATTAATAATTTATTTTTATATTAAAATTAAATTATATAAATTTATACTAAAAATAAATTAAAAAATTTAAATTTATTGAAAATTATAAATATAATGATCAGTTGAAAATTATAAATATAATGAACTAATCGATAATTAATATAATAAATATATATAAAAAAATTATTATTTTATATTTTACATTATTTATAATAGAAAAAAATAATTAATTTTTTCGATAAAAATATATTATTTTTTAAATCTAACTATAATAAAAATATATACTATAACACTTTTACAAATTTCAATAACTAATAACAAAAAAATTCAAATATTCTAAATTCAAAAGAACACAATTGAATATGTTAGAAAAAAATCCTCAATTGTCATTTTACGTATAAACAATTAATATCAAACAGTTGTTTTACCAAACATTTTAATACAAACAGCTAATCGAATCAGCTAGTCAAACCAGCTAATTGAATAAGCTAATAGTTATAAATTAATTGAATCAGCTAACAGCTAACAACTATAAACTAATGGTCAAATACGCCCTTGGTAAAATAACAGTATGATATTAATTGTTTATACGTGAAATGATAATTAAGGATATTTTATATGTTATTTTCAAAGTATTTAGTTGAGTTTTTTTTCGATTGGTAGACTTTTTTAGAATTTTATCATTAAATTTAAAATTTAGAAAAAATTTATTAGAATATTTATTTTTATTATTTTTAAAATATTTTGTAAAGAACTAATACAAGCTCATTGAAAAATAAATATATTTTTTTCATTAAAAATAGTATAAATTATGGAAGAACAAAAATTATTAGTATATATTTTTATTAGATTAATTTTTTATTAATATATATTTACATAGGGTGTGCTTGTTTGGAGGATTGGATTTAAATCCAACTATTCATCCAATTTTTTCTCCAAAAAAACATCAAATTAAACACCTATTTTTCATTTTTTATATAATACTAAAAATCAATTTTACATTCAAAACATCAGATCAATACTTATTTATATCACATCATACAACTATTCAAATTCAAAATTTTTACTATTCAAATCTCAATCCAAAATCCAAACCCCCAAACAAACACACCCTAAATCTATAATTTTAAATAAACATATTCATTTTTAATAAAAATAATATCTGATAAAAAATATTATATAAATAAATCAATAATATTAATATTTTTATATTATCTTTATTTTAAAAAAAATTAAAATCAATTTATAAATAAGATAATTGGTATATAAAAAACAATTATTTTAAATTTATAAATATAAATTTATAAGTTATAAAAAAATTATATTAAAATAATTAATAAATAGTGTAATAAAAATTTATATTAATATAAGTGAAAGAGTTAATTAATTTTAAATGCAAATAAAAAAAATAATAATATAATAAAAAAATTAATATGAAATATTGAGATATTCAGTTTTTTCAAAATTATATTCTTGGACTCAATAAATTAGTTGAAAACGTTAATCTACTAAATATCAAAATTAGCTGGTTTATTGGTCAAACAGCTAAAAGTTCTTCGATAAGTTAAAAACTTTTCACAAAAACTGTTTATCAGGTTTGCAGGATATTAGATTTGGCCGGAAATTTACCCAGTGAGTACTTTCGGATAGTGGCTGCGGATTCCAACGTCATAAAAAAAAAAAAAAAAAAAAAAAAAAAAAAAAAAAAAAAACCTGTTTATCAAACACCTTCACAATTTTTTCAAAATTAGTTTTTTTTTTACCCAATAAGCTAACTAAAAATACTAATTTACCAAACACAAAATTAATTAGTTTACTGGTAAAATAACTAAAAATTCTTGAAAAAATTATTTACCAAAATCCTCATAATTTCAATTGCAATTATAAAAGTATATTTGCGCCGTTATTTCAATATCATTTTTTGAAATTTTGAAAAAATGATAATAAAAAATATAATATTTTATTAAAAAAAAAATTCATTATAAAAAATTAAAAATAAAATATTTAATTTAAAACAAATTTATTTGATATTTTTAAAATAATTATTCATAGCACACAAAAAAATTATTTCATAAAAAATGTACGAAGCCATCGAATACTTATCATTTGGATCGGCAAGAACATACGAAATTACTAAATCACCCTTCCAGCTCACTCAACAAATCTGAATCATATCAAGTTTATAGATATTTGTTTAATAAAGGGCCACCACGGCGCCTATCGTGCCCCAAATCGTAATTCCATAAAGGGCATTCTCGTCATTCGACCGTCACCCTAGCAGTCCTCACGATGATGCCACGTGGCGATATGTCCATCCTACGCCCCAGGCCCCTCCAGAAGAAGCACAGAGAAAACACAAAGCCAGGAGAAGGGGAAAGGGAAGTGCCTTGCAGCCAATGGGAGCGGTGCGATGGGCAAGACGCGGATCGCTGACGTGGCAGTAGGAATTTGAAATCCCGCCCAAACCCGGACTTCAATTTGCTGTGTGAGTGAATTTGGGGAGAATTTTTGAGGCTCTTTTCCTATGCAACCCCTTATCCCTTCCCCTTTCACATATACAATACTCACCCACACGCTTTCAATACGCATACCCAGATCTCCCTTGATTTTTTCTCTCTCTCCATCTTCTTCTCGCACTAGGGGCGGCGGCGATTCTTAGGTGAGTTTTTACTAACTCTTGCCTATTCGCGGCGGTTTTTGACTCTTTTTATTTGTATTTTTCGCAGGTGAGCCGTGGATGGAGGATTTCGCTGAGTTTGACGGATTTTAGCGGTTTGCGACGGTTCTGAACGAGTTTTGGTTGTTTATTTTGCAGGTGAGCAATGAAAGGAGGACGATCCAAGGGGGAGACGAAGAAGGCTGAACCGAAGTAGGTGTTTGTTGGATTTCTTTTGGTTAGATCTGTGTTTTGATTTGATTGTTTCGGTTCGTCTTTTGAGTAGGCTTTCTGTGAAGAAAGGAGCAGTCGCGAAAAAGCCGGCGAAGAAGGCGAAGACGGAGAAGGATCCGAACAAGCCGAAGAGGCCTGCTAGTGCCTTTTTTGTTTTCATGTATGGAGTTTGTTTTATATTGAAAGTGTTTTCCGCTTTAGTTATGTATTTGTTGCTGTGATCTGCTTTACAGTGAATTACTGTTTGTAATTTTGTTTGTGTTGTTATTGCAGGGAAGAGTTCCGGAAAACGTACAAAGAGAAGCATCCGAATAACAAGTCAGTCGCCGCTGTAAGTCAGCCAGTCCAATTGTCGATGTTTTTGAATTTGAAAAACAAGGAGAAACTGGAATTTAGTCTCATCTCAGTTCGTCTGTTTTTTTGTTGGATGAACGTTCGTTCGTAGGTTGGCAAAGCCGGCGGTGACAAGTGGAAAAGCATGTCAGATGCTGTATGCACAAATTCTTTCCCTCGTTATCTCTTATCCCAACCTTGGGTTGTTGTAATTTGCTGAGATATTTGTATCAGGAAAAAGGACCTTACATAGCCAGGGCAGATAAAAGGAGGGCGGAGTACGAAAAGAAACTCCAGGCTTACAATAAGAAACAGGTAAGTAATTTCATCCACCGACTATAATATAATCCAATTAAAATTGAAATTGACAAGTAACTTCATCCTGACTGCAGAGCGAAGGAGCAGCCGCCGAGGAAGAGTCCGACAAATCCAGGTCGGAGGTGAACGACGAGGACGAGGAGGACGAGGACGGCAGCGCTGAGGTACGTACACTCTAATAGCAAAACAATGACATTATGATTAATTTTTGGAAAGGGAACTGATGTGTTAACGTTGTAGCAGGACGACGATGATGACGAAGAGTGAGGGAAAGGCAATAATGGAATGAATGTGTAGGAAACTGCTACCGTACAACAATCCCATCTGAACGCAACTCTGATCTGCTTTCTTTTCGTTTTCTTTTTTTTATTATGTACCCTCTCTCGCATTTTTTGTTTAGTAGAAGAAGAAGAAGAGTAGAGATTGAAGTAAGTTAGGTTTGGGCGGTCAGATGGGATTGTTTATGTATTTACGTTTTCAAGAAATCTTCTTTAAGTCGTCTCTGTATGTCTCTCTCTCTCTCTCTCTCTAATCAATAATCACAATCGCATCTTCGTCTAATTGGGATTTGGGTAATGATGCATTAATTATGATATGATGATCGATGGTGATATTCCCCTCCTATATTATCGTAATAAATAAATAGAAAAATATCTATTCCTTGAGACTATCTTCAATCAGAATATTTTTCTATTTTTGCCTTGTATTTTTGGAGGGTCTTCTCCAATGGTTAAAAAATATTTTTTTTATATTTTATTTTATATAATTTTCAAAATTACATATAAAATTTAATATTTTATTATTTTTATATATTTAAATTATAATAATATTTTTAATTAATATTTTAAATATTATATTGATAAATTATACTCTCTCCGTTTTAGATAATATGTTCACTGTTATTTATTTTTTTTTTTTTGAAATGATTAGATACTTTAATTTTATTTTAAATTTTAAAATTTTATTTTTTTATTTTAATTAAATTAATTAAATATTTTAATTTTATTTATATTATAGAATAATTATTTTTATTAATACATTTTTAATTATCTATTAATTACACCGGTCTTCCTAAAATACTATGTCTACTGGGACTATGAGGGAATATTTATTAATATTTTAATATATATTTAAAAATTAAAACATAAAAATATTAATATTATAATAAAAAATAATAAAATTAAAAGTAACAATATAAAATATAAATTTAAAACAAAATAAAAAAATAAAAAATAAAAATATAATTTTTTATTTTGTTGATGATATTTAAAAAATAAAAAATTAAATAAATATAAAAAAGAAATAAATAACTATATAAATAAATAGATAATATTAAAAAAAAGTAATAACTATATAAATAAAATAGATAATTGTATTAAAAAAAAAAAAAAATGCACCCGGTTGAAATCAATGGGTGAATTCTGTAAAATTACAGGGTGAGTTGGAGTAGTTTTTTTCTCTCCACCCTACAAAAATAAAAATAGAAAAAACCTTGGAGATGATCCGATGGGGGTGGATATTGTATCTGTGGTTTGATTGTTATGTTATGTGATGATTGGGGTTGTAGCATGGGTGAGGAATTGTTCCGGGGATTGGATTTCCAATCCATTATTCATTTTTTTTAAAAAATAATATCAAATTAAATAGTTATTTTTTATTTTTTATATTATATTAAAAATTAATTTTACATCCAAAACATCACATCATACAACTATTCAAATTTAAAATTTTTACTATACAAATCCCAACTCAAAATCCAAACCCCCAAACAAACACACCCGCATTTATTATATACTCCCTCCGTCCCAAAAGATTTGCCTTGTTTTTCCATTTTCGTCCGTCCCAAAACAATTGTCTTGTTTCCTTATTTAGTAGTCGTGGTCCTCACTTTATAACAAAATTATTCCTACTTTCCATACTACCCCTAATTATTACTCTAACACTCTTTAAAATCCTTAAAAAAAGTAAGGGCATTTTAGTCATTTATATTTTACTTTATACCCACTTTCAATTAAATACTATTATTTCTTAATTTGGGGTTTTGTTTGTTTAGTGTTTTTATTAAAAAGATTTTTTTTTTCAAATATGAAATATGAGAAATTGTAAGGGTGATATAAAATATAGGAAAAATTTATTAATTTTAATCCAGTTATAAATAATTTTAAGCAATTTTGTTCTATTTGTTAAAAAATTAACGGAAATTGCTAATGTGAATGTAACGGAGTTGACGACATAACTGATTTGGAAAGTAGACAGCCATGTACAATTATATACGGTTATATTTTCATACGGTTATGTATATTTTTGTATACAATTAGATAAGATTAAGTTTATTTTTTCGGTTGTGTACTAAAAAAGTTGAAAGAGAATTTTGATTCTGTCAAATCAGTGAATTTGTACCCTTTTCTTATCTTTCTAATATTATCTAAAGATATGAAAAAAAATAATACTACCTCCATCTCACATACCGTGTCTGTTACACTGTAGATACGGTATTTTAGAAGGTGTGTAATTAATAGATAATTAAGAATGTATTAGTTAAAATAATTATCCTATAATATAAATAATTATAAATTAAAATTAAGATAACTAATTACTTTAATTAAAATTTTAAAAAAATAAAATTAAAAAGTTTAAAATGAGATTAAAGTGTATAATCATTTTCCAAAAAAGGAAAGTGACATAGTATGTGGGACGGACATAAACGGCAACGTGGACATGGTATGTGGGACGGAGAGAGTAATAATAATAGAAATTTTAATATAATTAAAATGTATTAATTTTAGTTCAAATATAAAAATTTATGAAATATGTTATTTTGGAAAATTTTTATCTATAATTTTACTATTTATCAAAAAAAATTCTCTTACAAACATTCAATTACATTACTATTTTTTATTTTTGTATATTATAGTATTAAAAATTAATTTTATATTTCAATACAATTATATATGTCTACATTGAAATTGTATTGAACTATAAAATAAAATTTTAATATAATATAAAAAAAATAAAAAATAGTTTTGTAATTGAAAGTTTTTAAAAGGGATTTTTTTTTTTAAATAGTAGAATTTTAGACAAAATCTTTCAAAATAACATATTTAATAAATTTTTATATTTGAATTAAAATTTATACATTTTAATTATATTATGATTACTATTAATTTTTTCCATTTTAATTTTATCAACTATTCTAAATTCAATATTTTTTTTAAAAAAATAACAAAAAAATAAAATTAAACTAAAATAGAAAAGTACACGGCCACGTAGAATTAAACATGGCCGTGTATAATTGTATACTGAAATATACATGGTCGTGCATAATTGTATACTGAAATATACATGGCCGTGCATAATTGTATACTGAAATATACATGACCTTGTATAATTGTAAATGACCGTCTACTTTTCAGGTCAGCTGTGTCGTCAACTCCGTTACGTCCACGTCAGTAATTTTCGTTAGTTTTTTAACGGTGGGACCAAAATTGATTGAAATTATTTATAGTGAAACCAAAATTGATTGAAATTATTTATAATGAGATTAAAATTGATGAGTTTTTTTATATTGTGACCAAAATTGATAAATTTTGGTTATATTGAAACCAAAAATGATTTATTTTCCCCTAAATTATACTCTCTCCGGCCCAAACACCGTGCAACATTTATGTTTGGCACGAGAATTTAGATGAGGAGTATTAAATATGCTAATTTGAGATAATTTGCATATTAAGTGATGTGATTGGAGAAAGAAATGATTATTTGTCTTTTTATTTGAGTGATGTGATGAAATAAAGTGAAGTATATATTAATATATGTATATAAATATTATTAAATATTTCTAAATTTGGAAATATTTTAAAAAAAATATTGCAGGGTGTTTGAGACAGAGGGAATATTTTATGTTGAATATTGATGTTTGTAAGAGGATAAATTATACTCTTTTTATCTCACACTTTTCTATTTATGCATGTTTCATTTGTCTTGTCATTCTTTTATTTATCATGTTTGTTGGAAAAGAGTTATATACTTTAATTTAAAAAAAATTAATTTATAAGTTTAATTAAATTAATTATTTTAAATTTAATTCAAAATTATTTTTATTATATTATATTCCTTTTAAATTCTCGTGTTATATTAAGGGGATATCGTAGCCGGAAAGGATGGAAAGAGTATTGGATATAGTAGTGGAAAAAAAAAATCTTAGGTAAACAAATTATTTGGACTTTAGTTTTCCTATATATATGTTTTTTTTTTAAAAAATATTAGATCAAATATTATTTTAAAAGTTAATCTTTGTCACATTTTATATTATAATTATCAATTTTGATCAAATTGATTTTATTATTATTATTATTATCAATTTTGATCACATTCTATATTATAATTATCAATTTTAGTCTCATTGATTTTTTTTTTAATCAATTTTTTTCTCATTTAAACTATCAAATTTTAGTTTCATGGTATCTGACAGGGACCGAACACGGATGTGTTGGTTTGAATATAGTCGTGGAGTAATTCAAAAAGGTGACTGACAACTTAGACAACCAATACGGCTGTGTTGGATTCAATATGGTTGTGTTCATTATCATGCACTAAACATGGCCGTGTTCATTACCCTGCACTGAACATGGCCGTGGTTATGCCTCTGTTCACGACCATGTTCTGAACACGGTCTTGTTCATATCCGTATTGTCAATACAACCATATTTCTGGCAATGTTTACAACTTTATTCTCAACATGACCATGTTTTAGATTATATTTACGGCCCTGTTTTGAATATATATTAATATTTTAACAAAAATATTTTTTACAATTATTTACCCATTTGATACCCCTATTTAATCGGGGTTAAATTTGACTCATAATTAAGCAGGTCGATAAGGCTTCCACGTACTTAGCTGCTACGAACCACCTAGTCTCTATTAATAAATACAATACGATCATAGACATTGATAATTAACTCTTCTACCGCCCTTCCACATCATTGTCGAAAGTCTAACTTGAATTATTCAATTGCGAATTGGGTGAATGTGAGGTGGAGAAGTATGATAGAAATTTATAGCTAAAATAAAATTTAGGAATTAAAAGAAAAGAGGGAGAAGACGCTTGCTTGCGAACCAAAACTGAAAATCTCATATTGTTAAACTATATAAAAGATATAGAAAAAAGAAATGGAGGAAATAAAGTGTATGAAATGATGAATTTTTTGTATAATTATGTATATTTTATATATCATGAGAGAGTATATTTATAGGAGAATAAAACTTTTAGAAGTTTGGCGGTTACAACCACCAATAAATAATTAATTACCTCTAAAATAACTACCTATAACTTGCTAAGAACTACCTACCTTGTAGAAGATCCTACAATAAAATACATAAAACAATAAAAAATTGACTAAATAATAATGCAGGATTTTAATAAAGCAGTTGGGAGAGCGCACGGCAATAAATGATGCAGCTGGGGTGTAGACGCAGTAAATATAGGTAATAATTGTAGCGAGAAAATATGTAAACACGTCGCAAACCATAGTAAATGCAGGAGCTGAAAGAGTCTTTGC